AAGAAGCTGCACTAAGCAATCTAATGTGATACTCCGTAATGCCGAATTTTGTCATTAAAATGTCACTTTTGAATGGTGCTATTTTGACGCAGCAGCCTAGGCCCATTATGTTGTAGTTGTCCATGTTATAATGTTTTTTAAGCAGTGCAATTGTTCACTCGAATGGTGCTTATCTAATATTGGTAAATAGGTTCAGTACGGATTTGTTCTCTTTTTGACTGCGTGCTTTACTAAATACATTCCAAAAGCGTAGAGTTTCATCACCAGCTCCTGTTACTATTGCCTCTCCATCCGGACTTAATGCCAAGTAAAGCACGCGATACGAGTGTCCAGTTAGCTTTGCCACTTGTGTCAGAGAAGGATATTTCCATACCAATATTTGATTTTGTGAGTAACCGTGTGTGGATACCAACTCAGACGAGTGTTTCGACCAAGCCAAATTGCACACTTGTGAACCGGTGTCGACGCACTGCATCGGCTGACCTGTTAGGGTATTCCAAAAGCGAATGCAACGATCGGCAGTGCCACCACCACTTGCCAACAAACCATGATGATGAGGGGACCAGGCAATGGCTTTTACCGCTGCAGTATGTTCTGTATACGATTGTACTGGATTAAGGGAATGCTGATTCCACACATATAGGCGATTGTCGTTGCCGCCACTCGCTAGGTACTGATTGTCGGGTGACCATTTAAGGCCGCAAACCTCTTGTCGGTGGCCTGCCAAACGACGTTCTGATTGTTGCGCTGGTGTGCGGGTATCCCTCTGTATAATCAAACGATCACGTGAACCACTCGACAAAATTTCACCATTCCACGCTAATGCACCTACACGTGCTGAGTGACCAGTCAATTTATTAATCTAGAAATAAGGAGGCTCATTTAAATGTAAACAAATCCAAAAAGGCATATTGCAATACTTACTTGTTTACTTGCAGCCACATCCCAAACTGTGACGAAGCCGTGATGTGTACCAACTGCCACTAAATTGCCGCGCTCATTCCATGACACCGATGTTACGGTATTCGAATCCGTGTTAAGGTCGCATAGGCGAGTTACCTATAAATTGAAAATTCAAATTAATTTGGTTGATTGAAAACGAACATATAGGAGCCAAAGATTTTTAAACGATTGCAGACAAACAAAAGCAAAATTTCAATGTTACTACAACATTAGACCTGTAATATTTGCTAATATTCATGGCAATAATAATTATCATTCACACCTGACTAGTACATGCGCTCCACAAATAAACGCAACTGCCTAAACCGACAGCAAGCACATTTTGCGATGACCAATCGACCAAATTCAAGTAAAAGTCATCTTGAAGTTCGGGAGCGTCTAACACCTGTTAAAGAGGAAAGAATGTGTATTTTAGTTAAAAAAGTGAACTGTTTATTTGTACTTTATAATTTATGTACCTTAAATGGTATGCGAGATATTTTTCTAGTTGCTTTCCGCGGCGATCGCAGTAGTTTTTGGCTTTTCGTACTCACTGGTGAAAGCGAATATGGGCACTGTTCATTGAAATCCTGTAAAGAAAATTAAGAAACGCAAATAAAATCAATTGTTATTGAAATCAGCTTTAGAAATTAGTAGTTCTCTAATAGGCTTCGCAAATAAATAAAACGTTACAGTTATTTTTTCAGAGTCAAGGAGTTGCAGAGATAGCATGTAGCGATTCAAGTCATTGGCTCAAGTAATTTCATATTAGTAAGCTTAGGCAATTAGCAAGGAAGTGTGAAAATATGGCGGTATTGGCCAAAGGCTGCTGTTTAGAGAAAACATAGTTTGGGCACCCGTGGCTTGCATGGCGAAAAACGAACAAAAAAACGAAAACTGAGTCGAGTATTCATAAATGGTATGCCTTTTTGTCTACAAAACATTAATGGCGATTGACAAAAACTCCGATATTCACGGAATTTAGTGGGAGTCCGATTTTTTTCCGGAATATACACAATATGTGTAATAAGATTAAAAAATAAAAAGGGGAGGTTTAAGCGATTGAGAACATTAAAAAATTCATGTTTATGTATAATATTTGTTATAACAAGTTACACTAAATTTTTTGTTTACACTAAAGCTGATGCCCGATAAAACTTTGTGGCTTTGCGTGACATTTATAATTTTGCCAGCAAAGCGCCAGACGCAAAAGGTATGCCATAATGAGGTGACAGGTAACAAGATCAACGGAAATAAGTTCAATTGACTTTGTTTCCCACCCTGGTGCGAAATAAAGTCAATTAACATTATTACCTTTTCAAAAGCGAAATAAGGTCAACAAAAATTTTGAAATAAAGTCACTGACGCTATTTCCTCATTCAAATGGAAATAGCGTCAACAATGCTTAAAGTATGACGATTCATAGAAAAAAATGTTGTTCTTACAATAAACATTGCCCCATAAGTGTTGTTTTTTAATAGATGAAAAATGTTATTGCCAAATCCTCATGGTGGTGCTATTAATCCACACACAATCATGAACTACCACCAATTTATTTTATTAAAAAATTTAAAATTACGCATATAGTAAAAGACGATGCGAAAAACCAAACGCAAAACGCAGCTGGAATACGAGAAATATTTGAAGAAAGAGTGTAGAAATGATCCAGAACTTGCAAAATAAAGCGAACACTATTAAATTGAAGAAACAGTCCATGTCCAAAAACCTCGGAGGAAAACTGAAAGAATTCTGTGTTTTAAATTAGCATATTTTGAACGAATTCGGAATGTCTAAGGTGGAAAAGAGACCAACCTTTCTATAAGGAAACAATTATAGAAAAGGAATTTTTTTACACTGTATTCATGTCTCCGCCAGCAATTTGTGACGACATCATTTAAAAGCAGCTAAGGAGAACGACGACACTATTTAATAGATGGCACATTCAAGCCATTCGAGGGCTTAAATTTATTAGTACCCTCTATCTGCAATTTGCACAAAAACTAATTTGTGATTTTAGAAACCATCTGGGACGGGGCACCGAAATTGCGCATATGGAAACTGTGCATTTAGACATTATTTCGGTTTCAACCGAAACTGTGCATGTATGCTTTATTTCGGTTTTTACCATATGCATTATTTCGGTTTTAAAC